TCACACTAATTAAGGTAATCCAAAGATCATAAATTTTTCATGATCATTTTCATGAAATTTTTTTCATGATCTCTAACTTTTCCGGTTTATTAAACCACCACCAATTCTTTTTGTCTCAATGAAGAAAATTTCACAATTTTCTCAGGTAATGGAGATTGAAAAAGAAGTAGACTTTATTATTGTAGAAAAAGTAAAGATTACAAATTTGGATGAAGACTCTGGGTTATAGATAAACCAGGATTAAAAGACAAAAACGTTAGATAAAGAAATAAACTAATAAACTATCCTATTGATGAACGGAAGTAATTTACATATCAGGATAGTGGCTAAAAGAAAAGAAAGACATTTTAAGTTACAGAAGTTATGGAATGTAAAAGATAAAAACGCTGAGCTGAATTGAAATGTTGAATGTTGAGTTCTTCTTTTTTCTTTTTCTTTTTTTGTTAGAATTAAAGATATTGTACATGGATTATAAGATGACTATACAATGTTTGGAGTGAATGAGTTGGGTTGCAAGATTTTGCAGGATTAGTATTCAAAATATGTGAATTTGAATATTCAAATTATATTGATTAACATCTAAATTAGTTAACCTAACTCTGATATAAAAAAAAAATTTAAAAATTATTTAGCTTACTCATAAATGAGATAAAGGTTATATATATAATAAATTTATGATACAATTTAGGAGACGATATAAATAAGAAAATAATACTAAATCAGTAATTGATACAATTACAGATTATATATATTGAAAGAGAAATTGAGAGAGTTGAGAGAGTAATATTTCTGTTATGTTAACTCTATATCAGAAACACAATAGAGACTCCTTAATATAGGAGCTCGGATACAAGACATCATGATGATGTAAATTAATAAAATAAGAAAAGCGACGCCGAAAGTTAGTGGCGACCGAAAGCAATCCTAAAGCAAAGCAACCTAAAGCTATCGTTGTATATTATATATACATATTATATTAATACTATCTATACATACTGACATATATAGTATTATATTCATATATATGATATTCATATGTTAACATATATAATACTAAAAATAAAAATAAAAAATTATATACTCTTATTTTTAGATTCAACAATATAGACATAAGGAAAAAAATAATTACTAAGGATATCCAATTGAATATTTAGTGGCTGTGCCGCCGCAACTGTTATTAGTAGCATTCAATAATTTTTCTTTGAAACAATACCCCATCTATGCTATAAATTATGAAATTATCTTTCAATCATGAAGCATGAAGACTAATATGTAGTGCCAATCTATATGCTAGTCATGTCATTCTAAAATGGATGCCAAGGTGACTTATTGGGAAGTCAGAGAGTTCTTTAGACTCGACAAAAAATGGAAGATTTTCAATGTAACTACCTTCATTTATGATTATCTAGTAAAATAGATTAGTACTCTACAAAATCAAGAACAGAAGGTGAGATATTTTCATATATATAAATAATAATAATAAAAAGTAACAAAATTAAAAGATTTGGGACGAAAAATGTAAGAAACCAAACCATATATTTTTTAGGCTAAAATGAAACAAAATCCATATTTTAATAACTAAAATGTTACTAAATGCTTACTTTTAAACTATGTGTTTGGTCATTTTGATTTTATTAAGACTTCTTGTAAAATTTTAAAAATATCTCTCTTTCCATTACTGATTTTGAACAATATTAATGTTAGAATTAAAGTAAATTAATAGCATACTTTGAGAATTAAAGTGGAACAAATACAAGATTAGGATTAAATTATAGCATATCATGTACTTTGAACCATTAACCCAAAATAGTATTATCACATCCATCAAGTGAAACTTTTGGTTAACCCTCTTTGAAGGCTGACAAATTAGGCCATTATTAATGTCCAATTATACACCACTTTTTTTTTTAAACCACAAGAGAGGCCACCTTAAAAGATGACCACTTTATATATACCTCCACTTGATTATCTGTATTCTAAACCTCCTTATTAATTATATAATATGAACAAGATATGCATAACCAAAATCGTCAGCCCTTACACACAACACAAACAAATGCTAGTGATGGCTTGCTCACAAAGGCAACCTTGTGCCCCCTATAAATTCTCTCCTCCTAAGCTATTCTCCACACACATTCAACACACATTTTTTTTTCATTAGCTAAGCCATAACCACAACCATTTGTTGTTTTTAAACTTGATTTCTGGTAGTGATGTCGTCTATTGGAGCTAGCTTTGCTCAAGTTTATGTGCAGCAAAAGAAGCATGAAGATAAACTAAAGAAGAAGAAGAAGAAAATGGAAGAGGAAAGAAAAACAAGCGGAGAGGCCACTGCAGCTGCCATTGAAATTGGCAGCTGTAAACCTGGGAAGAGTAACAAAATTCACCCAGGTGCAGGCGCCTCTGCGTTGTCGTTGAATTATAAGAAGTTGGATTATTTAGAGGGTTAGTTAATGTGAAGAAAAAAGAAAGGCAGATTTCTGGTAGACATGCATATTAACAGTGCCTGCATGGCTTGTTTGTTTTAAGTTCTATATAGATGTTGTGACTTGTGAGGTTTGGTTGTGTGCTTTAGATACACTGTGAATGTGTGTTTTGAGTGTTTTACAGTTCCAATTCTCTCCTATGTTTCCATCTCTTAGTTTCCCTTCAGTTTCCATTTCCCTTTTAACAAGTTTGTTTAAATGAAATATTTGGCTTTGTGTTACCTTGGTGGAGAGGAGTGACCTTTGCACATTTTCTTTTTCTTTTTTTCTTTTTTCCTTCTCTTCCCTATGCTTTATAGTCATACCTAAATAATAAATAAAAACAGTGTTAAGAGCATGTCCTCAATCTATTGTGTAAATCTTTTATAAAAAAATAAAAAACAAAAAATTGATTTATTCAATATTTGTAATAATATTATTTTTTTCAAAAAAAATAGATGTTAAGCAAGAAATTAAAAATAGTATGTTTAAAAAATAATAAAATAATGTAATTATAATCTTTGAATCAAAATTTTTTTTTTTTTTTTTTTAAATTTTATGGACAATATTGAATTATCGGATTGATAGCCATAATGAGCCCACGAGCCCAACTAGACCACCCCATCCACTTTCGTCCCATCCACCAAAATGGACTAGAGACAAGCTAGATTATTAAAATAATCCTTATCTAAAGTAAATAAAATTTAAAAGGGTAAACTCAACAGGCATTGCTTGATGCTTCTAATATTTACAGAACCTCTCGTGAGGTTTCTTAAATTATAGTCTTATTAAAAGAGTTAACCCATGGTCAATCTAACCTGAGTAATTACCCTTAGAATTAAAAAATAAAAAATAAAAAAGAACTACCGTTCAAATTGAAAAGTGATGAAAAGTGAATTTTAAAAAATAAATATTTTTATTTTTTTATTTTAAAATTAATATTTGATTAGGAATATTCTAACTTAGTATAAAATAATAATATTAAAATTATCATGTGACACTGTGTACGTAACTAACCTATGATTATTACTGCTTTGTTGTGCTATTGTAACAAACTTATTCAATTATATATTCTTAACTTCTTAACTAGGAGGTTAAAGGGTTCAATTTTTACCAAATGCAAGTATCAATTATTTCTCGCCATTATGAAGTATCATTATTTTTTTTTTCCATTTTGGGCTCATTCTATATTGATGTTGTCATTGTTAGGCCGTTGGACTTTCAAATATATAGCTAATTGTTCACTTTTTTTAGGAAAGGAGTTAATTGTTCACTTTGATATAATGTAAATCTCGTGATATTGTAAATAATACCCTACCAACTAGGGAAAAATAAATAAATAAATAAATAAAAACGTAAAAAATAAAAATATGGTGAGACGAAAGTGTTTGCATATGCAAGTGTTACGTTAGGTGTGGAGTCAAAAGCATTCAACTCTTCACATGTTTAAAGTAAAAATCCAATGGCTAAAGATTGGGTCATTGGATGTGCTTAGAAGAATTGAAAAGTATGGTTGAAATTCTCTGATATGATGGAATTTATGAGGTCATTTAATATTTTTCATAAAGCAAAAGTACTATAAAACTAGGAGATTAAACCAAGGTAAAACGGTTATTTTTTAAAAAAATTGTTAAATGAAAATTATTTAAGTTTGGGGGGGAAATATGATCACACTAATGAATCTAGAGAATACAGAATTTCTTGTTGAGAAGTAAGTTTGGGATGAAATTTGCAATAAAGATGAAATTAAATAAGCCATTAGGATTGTATTTCTATTAAGGCTTGAAAATAACTACAAAGGGCTGCCCAATACGTGCAACTTGGGACTTAGGAGGTGCACTCTCTCCAAGTCTCAAAATCAACTTCTATTAAGTGTTAATCAATTTATTGAAACCACATCTTCAGACTTTGCTCAAGATTTGCCTGATCCATGTAGGGAGAGTACTTTGCATGGGTCTTAAAATTAATCGAGATATGCATGGCTAGTCCGAACACCCAATCATAAATAAAAAATATATACAACGAAACTATTGAGTGATTGAACATCGTTTAACTATAACAATAATATTGTTATATGCCATTTTGAATTTATGCGGAGGAGATTAATTATGGAAGCAATATATTGATTAAAGAAATTATTAATAAAAAAATACAGACAAAAAAATAAATTAATAAAGGATCTGCATTTGAATCATTTTAAGAGTTCATAGCTTATTAATTCCTTGAACCTCGCCAATATTAGGCTGTATTGATAATTTAGCAAATTTTGGAATAGTTTTTGTTTTTTTGGTTTTTTTTTTTTTTTTTTTTTTTTTATTAGGCTGTATTGATAATTTAGGAAATTTTGGAATAGTTTTTGTTTTTTTGGGTTTTTTTTTTTTTTTTTTTGCTTACTATGGTGCTACTTAAGGGAATTTAATAATTCATTCCTCAAAAAAATAAAATAAAATAATAATGCAATAAAAAATAAAATAATACAATGACCGATCCTCAAAAAAAACACTTTTCTTTTTTTTCGGTTTTGGGCATTTGGTGTAAATAAATAAATAAACCTCATTTTTAGAGAAGAGTCCCCAGCAAGAACAGAGCATTAAAAACCAAAAAGTTGCAAATGTTAGTCTAGTGGCCAAAACTTTTGTTTTTAGGTCACTAGTTTGAACTCCCCACTCTATCTCTCCCTATAATGTAATGTACCCAAACAAAAAGCAAAACAAAACAAAGAGTCAACAAACCATACGGGAAAAGAGAAAAAAACTAACAAACAAACTAGCTGGTCCTACCCAAGGCAGCTCGGGCTAGAACATGAGCTTCGTGAACCACCTGTCTTTCAACTTTTTTAACTACAACATAATCAAAACTATTACATAACCAGCGAATCTCCATAACAACATTAAGCAATGCAGAGTCATCACAAGAAGTCTCATCTTTAAGAGCCTTCACCACAGTAAGACAGTCTGTCGAAACTGCCAAATTTCGGAATCCCTGCCTGGCCGCCCATTTCAGCGCTTCTAAGCTTGCAATGGCCTCCACCACCCCAGCTGAAACAGCGAAAAATGCATGACTATCCTGTGCTATCCTTCTTCCATGCTCATCGAATGCCACCCAAGCAAAACCCGCTTCGCAATTTGACTGAAACCAAGTGCCATCCACTACAAAGCTGCAAAGAGGCGAATCCACATGCATTCCCATTCCCAGGGAGGTTGAAAAATTATGAGTGCAATGCTTAACCTGCCCAGAATTTGAAGGCACAACGACATGCATCACCTTATCAGATTGCATCTGCAAAGGCAACTGAATGTCAGCATCCATGAAGTTCTATAATACTCAAACCCAAAAAAAACATATCAGACGGGCTATGATGAAAATTGTCAAAGTGAGCTTCATTGTTTCTATTATACCATATTTCCCAAAGCACAAGCACAGAAATAAACGAAAAAATTACAGAATTATCATCAGGTGCACACTCCATCCTCCCTGCAAACCATTCACCAAAAAGGTATTGGTTCACCAACATCAAAATCAAAGCCCAAAGTGGATCCACAACAAACCAATTTAGAGAACACACTCAAAACATCAATGTTTCACTTTCAGACCTCGGGATTATAAACAAGTCTTCATAGGAATAATTCAGCGAATTAAGTTTCCAAATGAACTGACCCAATTTAGGTAGAATCCTAACACTCCATAGCTGTAAAAATACCCCGACTTAAAAGTGTATGTTATGTGGTTCATGCTTTAGTTTCAGTATGAAGGGTATTTGTGTAATTTTAACCTTATTAATATAAATACAAGGTCTATAAGGTGACAGCCCTAATTTTCCGGGTTTTTCCTCTATTTGACGTACACTGCTCTGTTCTTTCCTCTCCTCTGTTCCTTCTTGTTCTTCTTTTACTGTAAATCAAACATGCTATCAAAGCTTCATCAATAGATTTTTCGAGTACAAGCATCTCTTTGGTTTCCCTTTTCATCTCCGTAAAAAATTAGGCATTGTTTGTCATAACCTAAAAAAGCTAAAAGTCAAAAGGGCAATATCTTATTTAAGTCACATCATCTTATTTAAATCACATCACCTCTCTACCACATCACTTCAAATCTAACTCATACCCAACCCATATTTTATAAAAAGTCAAAAAGTGCACTTATTTAGATCATCCTAAACCACCCCTAAATAGGATAATGACTTTTTGACTTTTTAACTTTTTAAGGAGATGTCAAACCTAACCTTAATAAATAAATAAATAAATAAACAAGACCATCATGATCAATTATGAGAGTCTACCAATGATTTTTTCCAATTTTTTCTAAATACATTTGATATGTTTTTTGTAACTTTTTTTGTGATTTTTGGAAATAAAGGAGTTATTTTCCAAAATCAATGCTCGAGGCTGTTTTTGGCTTGATGGTTGCTTGGGCTCTTCTCCATGGGGGCCGACTGGAGTAGGGGATTAATTTCCATCAGAGTTTTTCAGGTTTGGATGTTTATTTTGGCTTCCTAAGGTCCAACTGGTGGTTTTTTGGGCAGCAGCAGTGAGTTTAGTACTGTTTTGGGTTGTTGGTGCTGTTTTTTGGATCATTTGGTAGGCACTTTGTTCACTCTAGTGAAGTTTTGTTGAGTTGTTTGCAAGTGGGATTTGGTAAACCAGTTTTTTATTTGTTGTTTCATACTATTCATCATGTGGACATGACAGACAGTAGTAAGAGCAGCGAAGAGAGTGGGGTGGGGTGACTCGAGCTGGGACTCCTAGTGCTACCCCATCTCCTTTGGTTGAATTGGGACTCTTGGTGATAGTCCATCTCTTCAGATTAGTCATGTCAAATTGGATGGCACCTATCACTTGCTATGGTCCTGTTCTTGCAGTTTGGCTATTTCTGCTCATACCTCACATTATTGGAGCACTCAAGGAACCTCATGAAGATGGGGGGGTAATTCTATTTACACAACAATACTACCTCATTACACCATTTTTCTAATTACACCTCTCAAAAATTCAAAAATATTATTTTATTTCTTTACAAACTTTTTTATTCCACTTATACCATCATCCCTAATCTCCTCTCTTCTCCTCAAGAGTTTTGTGAGAATATATTGTGAATCTTACAAATTAGGCATGATTGTGGTTGTACATATTAGAGTCATATTAGAGGCGTGATTGTATTAGAGTCCTATTAGAGGCATGAATGTATTTTCTTTTTTGGTTTAGGAGCTTGGGCTATATAATCTAAGGTCTGATTGTAATCAAACATACAATTGAATATACAGAAATACAGAAAGCTTACATGGTATCAGAGCCACGTCTGAAACCCTAGGTATGGCCTTGATCATTCGAATCATTCGAAGTTCTTCGTTCCTGCTTGCTAGGTCTTTTTAGGTTGATCGAAGCCAGCCCTCTCTGGGTCGTGATAGTCGCGACAACCCTCTTCGAAGCCACGAAGGCCTTGCTAGGTCATGACAGTCTTCTCTGAAGTCGCGACTGAAGCTTGAGTAACAGCTTAGGGTATGATGAGATATCATCCCTTATTTATAAATAAAGATTAGGGTTTACAAGGTAGACAATTACAATCCCTGAGTGCATAAAAAAATGATTACAGACTCTTTCGGCTAATATAATATGCTAAGTGACTTTCGGTGATTATAATATGCCAACAGCGACAACCCTCTCTATCTTCGCCGAAATCACGATTGCCTTCTAGTGCTGGGTCTAAAGTCGCGAGTTTGGTCTGGGCCTAAGGGATCTCTCTCTCTCTCTCTCGCGACCTCTACGTTGGCTCTCTCTCTTGTCTTTGCTCTCGCTGTCTGGTCCTTGCTCTCGGTTTCGCTCTCTCTATCTTCAGTTTTGTTCTCTGTGTTCTAATTTCAGTCCACCTTGACCCCTCTGTCTCAACTTTGGATTATTACAGGTTGACCCCTCAACTTTATTGGGTTTTATCACTATGCCCCATCAGTTCTCTTTTCTTTTATTTCTGGTTCATTACAATGTCAGAAGATAAAATCCAAGCTATTAAATGCAAGTTTACAAGTGACAACTATGCTTATTGGTCTAGTGTTATGAGAAATTTTCTTTTCGGTCGAAAAAAATGAGGATATGTTTCTAGTTCTGTTCCTCATCCATCAAATCCCAAACAAGAAGACTATCTGAGTTCCTGTGACACATGGGATTGTGATAATGCTCAAGTTTTGACCTGGTTCCATAACTCAGTGGATAACCGTATCGGGATGATGTTCTCTAAATATAGCACTACCAAAGAGGTGTGGGATTACTTACAAGTGTTTATCAGCAGTCCAACTTTGCCAAACGGTATGAGTTGGAAATAGCTATTCAGGGAGCTCGTTAGCGGGATCTGTCAATTCAAGACATCTACATTGCTCATAATCAATACCATACTCCTGAGAGAAACCTTTCGCAACCAGACAAGCTTTGTAGCACTCAAGAGACCCATCAGAATGAGTCTGGACTTTGTAGACCTATTCCCAACCTCCCAATTATTCCCTCATGCGTGTCTCTAGGTCTGCTTGTTTTGTCCTCCTTCCTCATAAAGATAGGACCAAACTCAGTGCCCGGTCTGTCTTGTGTGTCTTTTTAGGTTATAGTCTTACTCAGAAAGGCTACCGTTGTTACGATCTTGTCTCTCGTCGCCTTTATGTCTCCCGTCATGTTGCCTTTCTCGAACGTTTATATTACTTGCAGCTTCTCCCTCTCACTGCTCCAGTTTCCAAAGAGAATTTGGTTCACATTGACCCATTTCCTTCTGAGGTCTCGTCTGATGAATACATCTTCGTTGTTCCTCCTGAGCTTGTTCCATCTTCTCCTTCTGCTTCACCTCTAGCTGCTTCTCCTCCTTCAGCTTCTTCTCCTCCTCCGTTATTAGTTTATTCTCGTCGCAAGGCTCCTCCTCCACCGGTTGTCTCTGCCCCTATTGTTGCTCCTCCTACTTCTTATGACACCGATCCTACTAAACACTGATATTCTACTCGAGCGCGTCATCCTCCAAACAAGTTGGGTTAGTCTAATACATATTTTTCTGCTTCCTATCGTACTTTTTTGTTTATTATTCACTGTTTTTCAGAACCTCAGTCTTACAATGAGGCATGTCAGGATCCTCTTGGGTTCAAGCTATGGAGGATGAGTTGTCTGCTCTACAGAAAACTAGTACTTAGGAGTTAATTCCTTTGCCTGCTGATAAGAACTTGGTTGGTTGCAAATGGATCTACAAAGTCAAGACTCATTCTGATGGGTCTCTTGAACGCTACAAACCTCGTTTAGTTGCCAAAGGTTTCTCTCAGGAGTATGGTATCGATTATGAGGAGACATTGCTCCTGTTGCCAAGATGACTAATGTCCGTACTTTGATCTCTGTCGCTGCTATTCGTTCTTGGCCTCTTTATCAAATGGATGTTAAGAATACTTTTCTTAATGGCCAGCTCACTGAGGAGGTTTACATGTGTCCTCCCCCTGGCCTTTACCGTTCCTCTAGCCAGATTTGTCGTCTTCAACGTGCTCTGTATGGTCTGAAGCAGTCTCCTCGTGCTTGGTATGATCGCTTTTAGACTGCTGTTGCCGAGCTTGGGTTTCATCCTTCTGCTTCCGACTCTGCTTTATTTTTGAGACATACATCGGCTGATTTTGTTATTCTCTTACTCTATGTGGATGATATGATCATCACTGGCTCTGACTCTTCTGCTATCTCTGAGGTCAAGCAGTATCTCTTCCGCACCTTCTAAATGAAAGATCTGGGTCCATTACGGTATTTTCTTGGTATTGAGATTGCTTCTTCTTCAAAGGGCTATTTTCTGTCTCGAGCTAAATATGCTAATGAAGTAATTTACCGTGCTAGTCTTACTGATACTAAGGTTTCTGATACATCTATTAAGCTTAATGTGAAGCTTAACTCTACTATTGATGTCCCTCTGGATGATCTCACTTTATATCGCCAGCTTGTGGGTTGTTTAGTTTATCTGACTGTCACTCGCCCTGATCTTGCTCATGCTGTTCATGTGGTTAGTCAGTTCGTTCCTGCTCCTCGCTCTACTCATTGGGTTGCTTTGGTTCGCATTCTTCATTATCTCGAGGGTACCATCTTTCAGGACTTACTGTTGTCATCTACTTCCTCTTTGGACTTGGTGGCCTATGCTGACTCTGATCGGACTAGTGATGTTACTGATCGCAAGTCTACGTCTGATTTTTGTATGCTTCTTGGTGATTCCTTGATCTCTTAGAAAAGCAAGAAACAATCAGTCGTTGCTCACTCTACTGTCGAAGCTCAGTATCATGCTATGGCTCA